ATATTGGTGCTTGCCCACAAATAAAAAGAAAGGACCTGGAGTCAAAGGGACGTAGAAACCCAGCAGTAACAGAAAGGTAATATAGTTCAGTCCTGTCTGAATATTCAGCCACCTCTCAAGCCTGCAGATTTAACCAAGATCTGAGAAATGCTGTTCATTCTTGCCTATTGCTCCATTTCTAAAAGACTTAAGAAATTTCTCCAGGTACCATATTCAGTAATATACCAGTTATGAATCATCAGCTTCCAGTCTTGTTGATTCTGTAAGCGTAGCATCACACGTCGACCCAAGTCGTGGGCTAATAAAATTGCTGATACAGAAAAGCAAAAACACAGGACAAGATAGTGAGTAAGCTTTTCACATGGCTAAACGGAGTCAGCTTTACTATCAGGCAGCAGAACCTCTGCCATTTTGGTCCAACTAAGATAAATTTCATAGTATGGTGACTATTGGCTCACTGACAGTATCTCAGCCCGACTATACAATTATAGTGCTTTGATACCAGGTTAATAGCCATGCTCTATCCTATGAGATCCTAGGATTTGTAATTTCACTAAGTACTTAGAAGTCTCTGCTAGACAGCTATAAATCAGTGGGATGCCCTGGAGACCTTAAGTCCCAGCTCTCGTGATCCCATAGGATGGAGCCATGGAAATTGAAGTGGGATCAAACTGCTTTAATCAAACTGCTATGTAGACACACTCTCAGGCATGTCACTACCTCCAGCTTAGTATTTTGGTACTTGAGCATAGTTCCCATGAACAGAATCACAGAATCAAAGAGTTTGAAGAGACCTCAAGGGTCATCCAGTCCAACCCCTCTGCCATGCAGGAACACATTAAGATGAATGAAAGTAGTTGGATATTATTGGCCACATCATCCACATTTGTGAAGGAGAGTGATCCTATACAAAATTAGGAGTAAAATCCATTAAACTACAGTCACCCTTCCGTTTTCATCGACTTTGGATCTGCGTACCTTGCTTATGCGTGCGAGACAAACAGAGGGGCATACAATGGGGTGCATGCCCCCACGACTCCATTCAAACCTATGGGGCTTGAATATGTGCAGATTTCCGTTTTTGCAGAGGGGTCCGGAACAGATACCCCGTGAAAATGGAGGGGCGACTATACTTCTAAATAGACATGGAGACGACTGCACTGTACATTCCTGAGCTGAATTTAGAAAACCAAACAAACAGTATCTTAATGATGGCATTAATTCTTAGTGAGCATGTTTTCTAGCCTCATAGGTTGACCCCTGAGAGCAGTAGGAGCAGACCTTTTGGCCTAGATTCTGTTAATAGTCCCAGCTACAGTAGACTCAGGCTGTGTCCGCACTGCAGAAATAATCCAGTTTGACACCATTTTAACTACTGTGGCTCAGTGCTGTGGAATTCTGGGAACTGTAGTTTTGTGAGACATTTAGCCTTCTCTGTCAGAGAGCTCTGGTACCACAACAAACTACAATTCCTAGAATTCCATAGCATTGAGCCATGTCAGTTAAAGTAGCATCAAACTAGATTATTTTTGCAGTGCAGATGCAGCCCGAGTGAATCAATGGGGTTAACACTAGTGTTGCTTTACTGTTCAACAATTGATTCAATGGGTTTACTTTGGCTGGGACTGCTGATAGGATTCAAGCTTTTATATTTTTGTTTCCTGATCCTGCCATCTTAATAGTACCATATAGGGATACAAGTAGGGGAATGCATGGCCCTGAATGTACAGACAACTCCGCTTGATGGTATTCTGCAGTTGGCATGATTTCTTAAGCAGAGCAGATCTAAGCTATAGTAACTTAAATAAGCAAAGCTGTAGTAACTTCTACTCTTGGAATATTTCATTCAAAACGTAGATCTCAAAGCAACTGCACTTTTTCTCAAATGTTACGCTCGCTGCTTGGGAGAATCTGCCATTATTGAACATGTAGTCCTCTAATCATGGTAGTTACGATATATTTTTAAAATATTTTTGTAAGTGAAGTTTTTTTCATGGGTTCGGGAGAGGGGGCGGGAAGGATATTTGTAGTCTTACTAAACCAATGGGTTTTATATTGACCTTGTGTTTACACCTGGTGTTCCTAAAAAAAGAATGCAAGGTTTACATGTTTCTAAATAACATTTTTGCAGGGGATGTTTTAAAGGTATGATTCTGTTTTTTAAGAATGGGGGCAGCAGTCCTAGAGTTTACTTTTAAGTCAAGAATACTGACCCTACTTTCCATTGCGTTTTCTAAAAAATCTTATGGTGCCTTTTGATTTCTGATACTGCGAGAGAAAATGTATAGGGTACTTTATTTCTTCATCTGTTTGAGAATGGTTGTACACTTGTAAGTACTGTAGATGAGCTAAAGTTTAACTCAGTTGTGCTTGATGTAAGGCTGCCGACTTCAGAAGCCTATTTTGGAGATGATTTCAGCAGACATACCTCCCAAATAACAATTTGGGGACTACAACCTAAGAAACATGGGATGATGTGAGGAGTTATAATGCTGAGTCCTGTTTTGTTTTGTTTTTGTTTTATGTAAATCCTTGAATAATAAAGCAATCTAACATTGTGATGCATGCTGGTAGGTTTGCATTTCCTACAGGTGCTCCTCATTACTGTACTTGGATGACTTTAGATGTACTTCAAGAAATAAACAAGCTGTTGGAACCTGTTTGATGGTGTGAAATCTGAGAACTCATAATGGAGCAGACACCTGGAAGGGTGGACACAAAATACACTCGTCTACAGAATACTTTCTTTCTACAGAACCAGTTCTCGTTCTGGACACCCCAGTATAGCTGCAAAATGGACATCTAAGCACCATACTATACTGCAAACCCACAGACTGCAAACCACACGTACTTACATGCCTCCAGTTTCCACCCTGAACACACCACCGGACCCATAGTCTACAGCCAAGCCCTCCGACACAATTGCATCTGCTCAGACCCACAGGACAGGGATGCCAAACTCAAGGAATTAGAAGTAAATATATATATAAGCACAACAAATATAAGAGGTCTAGGTGCAAAAGATTTTCAGTGTCTCGTTCTCTGCAATGCCAAAAAAAAAAAAAAAAAAAAAATCTGGGGACTGAAGGATAATTCTACCGGAAGATTCAGAATTCTGGTTCCATCCTTGAGTGACTAGTTACACCCTTGAGTAAGCATGATACATTAAGTTACCTACCAGAGTTACCTACAGTTTACTGTTAAAATAAAACACTAACTCTCACAAATGAGGGAAAAAAACTCTTGCCCAGAGATTTTACCCGAAGAAATGGAGAAAAAAGGGCAACCCCTGAGACCCAACAACCCTAAAGTCCTGTCCAATACTATCAGCGGCAGTATGCCTCTTGATATTATTTATACCAGGGGTAGGCAAGTTCCCTTTACCTGGGGCTGGTCCGGGGATCCCCGGGTCTTCCGCGGGCTGATGGCGGGGGGGGTGGAATGGCAGCGCGCGCGCAGCCCCTGCCAACCCCCGACCCCCACCACCACCGCCGCATGCACTGCCGCACGCGCTGCCTCCGCGCCACCACCTCACGCATCGTGGCCGCCATTTTATTTTGCGAAATGGCAGCCGCGACTCATTTGCGTATGCAGAGTATTGCGGCAGTGCGGCAGCGGCAGCGGCAGTGGGAGTCGGCGGCGGGGGTCGGTGGGGGCCGGTCCAAAGGCCTCGGGGGGCCGGACCCGGCCCACTGGCCGTTGGTTGCCAACCCCTGATTTATACTATATTATATATATTGATATTAGAAGAAGAAAAGTGCTACTCATCATATTCCGCTTGTCGGCTTCCCAGAGCCATCACAGTGACCACAAAAGAAAACAAAGGCTGCCTCAGCCAGGTCTTAGGTTGGATCCAGTACTACAGTTTGGCTTATCTTCCTAACTCTCAGCATGATACTTGCTTCCAAAGACTGAGCAGCCCGTGGCCTTTGACAGCCCTATCCTCTAGTCCTGTCCTTTTAAAGGCTCTTTAAACAACCCCCTTTAAAACTACAAATCATCTTGTAGCAACTTACATTTTGCATCCTTTCCTTTCACAAAAAAATCCTCACTGCTGTAGCTTTTAGATGCATCATGTTCTCCTGACCCAGAAAATACTGTTTTTTGCTCTCTCGCTCTCTCTGTTTGTTCACTCACACATACATGCCTTTTAACAACTATACAGCAGGTGGAAATCTTATAGGTGAAGCCTCTACAATTCTCCCTTCATCTCTTTCTTGTCTTTAGAAAAGCTGCACCCGATGAATATTGTGAAAGCACAGAGATTCTCTGTGTGTATCTGTTTATCTGGAAAACAATGAAAGGGAACCTGATTATTAAAAAAAAAGTAAAGAAAAAAGTAAAATTTGCCTGGTTAGATTCTATTATAGAATCTATTTTGTTGCTTTTCTGGAACTTGGAGATCTACTTATTGGAGCCTGGGGAAGACATAGACTCCAAAGTTCAACAAGTCTCAAGGATCTGTTTTGAGAGCTAGAACCAAACTCAGGTTTTCCATACAAAAACACACATCTCTTTATTCACAAGTAGATCCCGAGTTACCTTCTGTCCACAAGTCCTATGGAAATAGTCCTCTTTCAATAATTTGGAGGGAACAGGGGAGCTGAGATAACCTCCAGATGTTGGACTGCAATGCCCATCTTCTCTGACCATTGCAGTCCAACATTGGTTCAGGCCAGACAAGAATTGGGAGTCCCAAAATCTGGAGGGCTGCATGTTGTCCACCTTTTGTCTTCAGGACAGCCATTGTGGTGCGAGAGTTAGCCTATTAGGGTGCCTCTACACTGTAGAAATAATGCAGTTTGACACCACTTTAGCTGCCACAGCTCCGTCCTATAGAATACTGGGATCTGTAGTTTTGGGAGACACCAGTACTCTTTGGCAGAGAAGTCTACAGATCTTGTAAAACTACAAATCCCCTGATTCTGAGGGATGGAGGTACAGCACTAAAAGTGGTATTAAACTGCATTATTTCTACACCCTGTAGATACACCCTGACAGACAGTGTGGCATAGTGGTTTGAGTGTTGGACTATGACTCTGGAAACCAGGGTTCAAAGTCCCAGCTTGGCCACCTTGGGCAAGTCGCATGCTCTCAGCCTCAAGGGAAGGCAATGGCAAACCTCCCCGGAACAAATCTTGCCAAGAAAAACCCATGATAGACCACAAATTGCAAATGATCTGAAGGCACACAACAAGAAGATACACACTGGGATTTGGGGTATAATGGGTAGAGTTACTTGTTTAGGGGCCCATTTCTATCATTGGCTGAAAAAGAGATGCTGGACTATAGCAGCAAAAAGAATGACCACCTTTCAACTATATGTTAATTCTAAGGCTACATCTCCACTGCAGAAATAATGCAGTTTGACCCTGCTTTTACTGCCATGCTACAGAATTGTGGGATTTGTTGTTCGGTGGTATTTAGCCTTCTAGGTCAGAGATCTCTGGTGCTACAACAAACTACAAACTTCATTAAGTGCAGCTGCAGCCTGGGAGGCCCATATTTTAGCCTCTGCACAGCTGTGGAAACACACAGCCAGCCATACATACAAATGCTTTCTTCAACCTGATCCCCATCACAGGGTTGTTGGGAAGAAAACTACAAAACTTGAGCCCATTGCAGGAAAGGATAATCAGGCATTAACTGAAGCAGAGAAAGAAAATAGCTGGTTCTTGCTTCTCAGGAGTTGTGTCTCCTCTTCCTCAACACATCCAGAGATCTGGCTTCGAAGGTGGATTGCAGCTTCTCCCCATAAAAGGCTTGAGCAATTCTCCTTCCAATTCAACTCCTGGAGACTTTTGTTTGTGGGTTCTGCACTAACTCTATCTCCATTTTATCCCCATCCTCTCTTGCCTGCATTTGAATTTCTGTCAAACTTTTATTTTGTCTTTCCAGATTGTCATGGAGCTCAGGAAACATCTGGAAGAAGCGACCAAACGCGGGAGTGACTCCGGAGTGGGACCAGAGCGGGGCCTTTTGAGTAAGGAACAGAGGGACCAGCGGATCAGTCTCTTTCTACGGGATTTTGATCATCAAGGTGAGATTTTGGGAGATGTTGTGATGTGATCTTACACAGAGACCCATTGTAGAAATAATGCAGCTTGACACAGCTGTAGCTCCATCCTGTGGGATACTGAGATTTGTAGTTTTACAAGGTCTTTAGCCTTCTCTGCCAAAGAGTGCTGGTGTGTCACAAAACTTCAAATTCCAGGATTCTGTAAGATGGCGCCATGGCTGTTAAAAGTGGTATCAAACCGCTTTTTTCCTCTTACAGTGTAGATGCACTCACAATCAAAAGTACAATTCTACATCCAAATCCTAGAGAAGGATGTATTTTGGGACAGGGAAGAGAAGGAATTGGCTCAAGCTGCTCTGCTTCTACCTTCAGAGCTAGAAAAATGGTACTTGTAAAGAATCCAAATCCCAGAATCCCCAAAATTGTCTGTAAAAAGCATTTTATAGCTGGAATTCTCCAGGATTCTGGGAATTAAGAGTCCAAAAAAGAAACTTTTTCCCAACTCTTTCACTTCTGGAAACACTCTCTTCTGTTTTGAGTCCATTTGCTTCTTTTCTTGTAATGCTTCTCTTGCTTCACTTTCTTCGTTGCCTTTGTCCAAGCCAAAGAAAGCCTTCAGGAGATGAAGAAAGAACTGGCTTCACTTCTTCACACGGCCGAGAAAGCCTTTGGGGTGGAGTTGCTGGCGTTGCCAATGGTCATGCGCAAAATGAGGCGGAAAGACTTGATCAGTAAGGGCTGGGTTCGAATTGTGGCACCTTCACACTTTCCGTATCCTGCTGTAACATTTCCCCTAAGCCAGAACAGCAGAACCTCTATAACTGATCCTTAGGATTACAACTCCCAGAATCCCCATTGGCTATGCCGGCTACGAGATTCTGGGAGCTTCAGATGAGAAAAGGCATATTTCCAAGCTCCTGAGGAGGGAGATGGATTTCAGTCTTGGAGAATCTGTTTCATTTTCCCCTATATGTGAAAAATGTTTCTAGGGTGCAGATATATAGTGGATGATAATGCTAGTAGTAGTATAGTAGTAGTACTAGTAAGCAGAGGCTGGATGGCCATCTGTTGGGGATGCTTTGATTGGGAGTTCCTGCATGGCAGGGGGGTTGGACTGGAAGGCCCTTGTGGTCTCTTCCAACTCTATAATTCTATTATTCTAGCAGTAATAATAAATATAATTTATTTATAGCCCACCTCTCCCTGAAGGATTGAAGCGGATAACAGTAATAAAATATCACATTGATATTAAACATAATTCCCTAACCCCCAATTAAAACAGAAAACATCATAAAATACAATAAATTTACTAAAATCAGTCTAAAATAGTAGTCCTGTGGAAGAGGATGAGGTTCTTGTGCCTTCACTCTGTAGATAGAGGAGATTTCAACAGGTGTAGTTGGTCCTACAAGCTTCACTTGTTGAGTTTCCTTCTTCTGTTCAACAACTATTACATTATTGACTTACATATTATGGGGTTTTCTTAGCAAGTTTCATCAGAGGGGGTTTGCTATTGCCTCCCTCTGAGGCTGAGAGAGTGTGCCTTGCCCACGGTCACCCAATGGGTTTCCATGGCTGAGCTGGGATTTGAACCCTCATCTCCTCCATCGTAGTCCAACACTCAAACCACTACCCCATGCTGGTCCCTCAACTATTACATATTTTTTAATTTTTAATTTTGTTAGTCGCCTTGTGTCCCTGTACAGTCACCCCGATTGTTTGACAGAGGGGCGGGATATAAATAAAATTTATTATTATTATTATTATTATTATTATTATTATTATTATTATTATTATTATTATTAAATGATTCTTGATTTTGTTGTATTAAATTACATTTTATTTTATCTAATAACGTCTCCATTAACCATTCAAGAGTCCCAGACTCTTTTCCATCAATTATCTAGAGATACAAAAGCATAAGCTACCAACTTTATTTCAACCCATTTTTCTGTTTCTCTATCATAGACCTGAAAGAGGAGGAAGTAGCTGCTGCCACAGTTGCTGCCAACCTTGAAGTAGTAAGTATCTAACTATTAGAGGTGTCAATGGTAGGAAGGCTTTAAGGGCAGTGGGGTGAGGATTCCTGCTTTTATTTCATTTATTTCACTTATTCCTAACACTGATGCTCTGTTCTCCAGCAGGAAACGTTGTTGGAATATATCATATATTTTTTAAGACAAGGCAATTCCTCCTGTTGGTAAAAAGGCACAAGGCTGGAGAGAGATGGAAGATCTACGAAATGGAGGGAACCCAAGCCTAATGCTTGGCATTAATCAATGCCTCCCACCATTTTATAGATCCTCGTGTCTCTCTTTGCAGGCTCGCATCTCTTTCCAGCCTCACAAATAATATAATACAGGTATGTACCATGCAACTTGTGTGTTCCAAAATCTGATAAAAATCCAAATTTGAAATGCTTCTGGTCCCAAGCATGTTTGCAAATCCCAATCCTTTAGCAAAGTTATGAACAAAGACAATGGCTACAGTACATATATCAATACAAGATATGCAATACATATAACATACAATACAGTGTGCGCTACTGCACATATAACAAGAAGAATCTTCACAAAGAGAGTTTTGAACCGAGGGAAATGGACTTTTGGTCAGCAGACTTGTTGCTTTCACACATGAACACTATCTGGCCACTGTAACAACTTGAAAGACCTGCATCATCTTGCTCAGTCCTGTGAAAATTTTGGGCAAGGGATATATTTGCATCTTTCTGCATCCCTATTATGTTCTATTCCACTCCCATGACTTTATACCAGTGGCCTTAATACCATTCAGTTCTGCATTTGACGAAATGGGTTTATGGCAATGAAGGCTCATGTTAAAATGAAAGCCAGTTAGTCTCAATTATGCTGCAAGGGACTAACATGGCTATTTCTTCAAGAACAGTACCAATATGGGTAGCGAAATCTTGAGATAAATTCCTAGCACCCTTGTTGACAAATAGAAGTGGGAACTCTCTTGTAGATCCAGTTCTATTTCTTTTTAGTGAGATCAATGACTATATAACACATAAAATGGCCCTTTTTGCCTTGGCTTGCAAAAGAGATTAGAAAGAGAGAGTTGACTAAAATTGCCAGAAATTCCCGTGGAGACTCCAAGTATTAAACTGATTTTCATGATGGCAATGTAGAAGTTTACCAGTAACTGGAAAGGTTTTTGTCTTTATATTAGCAATAACTTTGATCACTGCATGTTGAACTGTGGGGTGACTTTTGTACTCTTATACTTTTTATCTTAAATGTTTTGTGTGTGTTTTATTTTATTTATTTTATTTCTTAATGACATTTTTATTGATTTTCACACAAAGAAAAAAAAGAAAGAAAAACATTACAGATTACAGACGTCTACTATAAAATTGTTTTCTTATCGCAGTAGTAATGCTGTCCATAATGTTCTCTAAAACTGTCCATAATGTTCTCCTTCGAGCCCCTTTAACACCAGGCGGCTGGGCTCTGAAACTCCAC